TTCCCAAATGGATTTTGTAGCATATGGAAACATCTTGCAGTTGGTACTGGTCTGCTAACCACATGGTGAATGGAGCCTCTTTGATTTGCTTTAGCTGTGTAGCCAGAACTGGGAGTATACTTGCAAAGTCATAGTTAATCTTGGCTTTCCTCTGTTGAACTGACTTCTTTCAGTCTGGGGGCATTCTGGTGAAAGGGCATGCTGTAAGCGGAGAACATGTATCAGCACTTTCTGGTTTCACTCTCTCACAACAAGGCCTACTATATTGCCTTCTTGGGGATCTAGGGATACTTCTGAGGAGTTGGAGAGTCTTTTCTCTAATGCCATTAGCTTAAGCCCTACTTGTCCTTCCCTCATTTTAATCTCCAGTGACTAATATCTCACTCCCATTTAACCAATTAACATCGTTATCTTTTACAAAAAGAATATTTACTTAGAGAATTTAGCAAGAACAGAAGCACAAAGATTTCTGGGCAGTGCTTCAGTGATGCATTTTCTCCCATACCATCTCAGTCTCTGGGAGAGAGGGCTCAGACTTAATGCAGTTTCTGCATAGCCTTGGTACCACTACATTCACTTCTAAATGCAGAATTTCTGCTGGAATAGCCCTTGTCTCGACTATTGCTGGTCTGAGTCTCAAAGGCCACTCTTTAGGGTCAATCAAAGAGACTCCTATTTCCCATGTGGTTAGCAACTCAGAACCAGTTACAGAATGTCTATGCGTGCTCCAATGGCTATATGGGAATTACAGCAGCTAAGCACTCTACATATTTTTATAAGGACTATGATCATAGGCTGGTCACCAATTGTACTCATCATGTGCTCCTGGCTTCCTTGTGGCTATGTACATGTACATAGATATATGTGTCCATGTTATCTGTCCCGAGAGAATACAAGCTTCTTGAGGGTAGGGACTGTTTCACTTTTTTCTTTATACTCCAGCACATAGCATAGTGCCTGACTATATTTGTTAATTAGTTGATGGTGGTCTTTTTGCAAATGCTTATCATGAGCATTGAAATATAAAATGACTGAGTCCCCCAAAATTATGTTTCTTGTTGCTTTTGAATGCATGATAAAAACCAATTCTACCAGCTCCTTTATTTACCTCTCACAGGAGAATCTATCAACCAGCTTTTCATGTAGCTGCATCTTCTTTTCATAAATGGTCTCATTTACAGTGAGAATGTCAAGTCAAGCCAAATCAATAAGCATTTATTTGTTAAGTACCTACTATGTGCTAGGCACTGCAATAAGTACTGGGGATACAAAGAAAGTGGGAAAAATACAGTCTCTGCCCTCAAGGAGCTCAAAATCTAATTGGAAGGGGGAAGACAACATGCAAACAACTATGTACAAACATATGTATGTGTATGTATGTGTATATGTATATAGATGTACACACTCTATATATACTCTCTCTCTCTCTCCCTCTCTCTTTCCCTCCCCAAAACAGAATGTGGTAAGGGCAAAGAAGAAATTCATTCAACATGTTATATGGAAATTTGAAGAAAGAGAAAACTTTTAGGTTGGGTGGGCCATCAGGAAAGGCTTTATAGAGGAATTGGCACCTCAGTTAAGCCTTAGATGAGATGTGGAAGATAAACATTTCAGGCATGTATGATGACCTATACAAATCCATGGAGGAAGAAGAGTTTAGGATGTGATCAGGGAACAATGAGTGGTCCAAAGTAGGGGAAGTATGAAAAAAGATTACATTGGGATTAGTCTTATGTGAGAGCCTTAAATGTCAGTATGAGTAATTTATATTTTATTCAATAGACAACAGAGAGAGAGAGAGATATTGAAAGTGTTTGAGCAGAGGAGTGACTTGGTCTGATGCATGACTTAAGACAATTAATATGCCAGATATTTGAAGAATGGATGGAAGGGGAGAGACTAGAAAAAGGAGCCTTGTTAAAGAGGCTATCACAATATTCCAGTTGAGAGATGATGAGGGCCTGAACAAGAATAATGGCATTGTGGAAGGAAGGGGCAGATGTGAGAGACATTGTATAGGTAGAACAAATAAGGTTAAACAAATGATTGCATATATGGGCTGAGGGAGAGGAGAAAGGTAAAGATAAGCTAGAGTTTCCAACTTGTGTGACTTGAAGAATAGCTATGCCACCAACAAACAGATATCTATGTCCGGAAGGAAGATGACTAATTCAGTTTTGAATATGTTGAGTTTGAGGTATCAGCAGGACATCAAGGTAGAGAAGTAATCAGAGATATGTCTTAGGAAACAACATGACAACAGTGTATAGGAGGGATTGGGGGTTGAGGTGAGCAAGGACTAGAGGTAAGGAAACTGATTAAAAGTCCATTGCAAATACATATGAAAGAATAATCATAAAACAATAAAAATAAATTCTGCAAAATTATAGAGAACTTGGCTCTAAAAAAGAGAAAGAAGACACCTCCCTTTGCTTCACTGCAGAGGTTGGGGTTGATGGGGTGGGAACACTGCATATAACATCATATTTTTTGGATATATCAATCAGTTTTGCTGAATTTTTTCTCATTTTCCTTAAATTTTTTTTCTTTACAAAGGAAGGAAAAAGATACACAGTTCTTAGGAAATACAAAAACCAAATACAAAAATACAAAAAACAATATAAAATCCAAAAAAAAAAACAAATACAAAAACAAAAGATTTCAATAAAAATATTTTTTAAAGTCCTTTAAAGAGCAATCCTATATTCAATTCAATTCAACATTTATTAAGTGCCTTCTGTGTTCAAGACATTTTCCTAGGTGCTGTGGATAAAAGAAACAAATTGGATGGTCCCTCCCCTCAAGAAGCTTAAGTTCTACTGCACTTAAGTCTTGGCTATGGGAAGAAGATAGGAGTAATATTTCAGAGGTCAAATTGACGATTTCTGGATTGATGGGATGAAGGAGCCTACTCCCTTTATTCCACTGAACATTTTGATTTTACTGTACCTTTTCCTAGAGCACTGGGCCTGGAGTCAGGAAGACCTGAGTTCAAGTGCTACTTAGGTACTTACTAGCTCTATGACCCTGGGCAAAACACTTAACCTTGGTCTGCCTCAGTTTTCTTAACTGTAAAACAGGGATTATATTAGCACCTACCTCTCAGAGTTGTTGTAAGGATCAAATGAGGTAATATTGGCAAAGCTCTTAGTACAGTACCTGGCACATAATGAGCACTTAATAAATTCTTATTCATTTCCTTTCTGATCCTTTTCTTTCTCCCTCTGGATCTTTCCCTTCTCTTGCACCCCTTTCTCCTCCTTGACATGTGGCAATAAAAATCATATGCAGTATTTTAGGTGTAGGAAACCCTAATTTTGTGAAAGAATAGAATACCTATAGTATTGGTATTAATAATATCCTTATCACATTGTGCCTTGTATTAAAGTTATTTGTGTACATCTTATTTCTTTTTACTCGATTGTAATCCTCTTGAGGGCAAGGATCACATTTCATCTCTTTAGAGCAAGCACTGACTAGAAGAGTAGCTTGCTTACAATAGATTCTTATAGATTACAATTACTTGACTATTATGGAAATGAAACTTACCAGAACCAAGTTTCCAAAGTCTCCTCTAGATCCCTTTTCATGGAAAGAAGTCAACCTCCCGGCCATTTGACTGAGTGACCAGTTCTAACAAAAGGTTAAACACCTTTCTTGGAAGGAGGAAAGCTTTGATTTATTTAGCCTTTCAAGATAAGAGAGGTATGTAGTGCTGAATGGATAGTTCCTACCCTAGGATGGCTATTTACAGATCTTTGCTCCAGTGTAACATCAATAGGAAAAAAAATGTCTATGTGTACCTAAAAAGTGATCAGGATGAAAGTGCCTATGACTCAGGTTCCCTATCTCTGTATGATAACATGTTGGATTAAGCAACCTATAATATACCTTTTTCTGGGGGGGAGGTGGGGTGGATGATATGAGTAGTGATGCCAGTGTCCATGAGACCCTTTGAAAGTAATCTCCAAACAATAGACAAACTTACCAAATCCCAGAAAATATCACTGGCCACAATCACATATATAATCTACTCCACTTCCCATGCCACTTCTATACCTTCTGACTGATGTCCAATTATCCAATATCCAATTCCACTAGGAGTGTGCAAACATTCTCCTGAGCTCAACACTACAACACTGGCATTCTACTCTACCTTCAGCTAAATAGCTCAGCATTGTGTATGCCTTCCTTGAAGGTTGTGACAACTGACATTATCTAGAATTTCTATATTACAATGTTAGCAGCAGTTACCCAAAATGAAACCCTCTCAGACACTACTTTTTTCCCTCCTAAACACCTCCTCCAGCTTCCTCTAAACTACTGAGCCATGAGACATCTGCTTGGTTCTATACTTGGTTCTATACTTGGTTCTATACTGTGCTTTTAGTTATGAACTCTCACATTTGGAATGAAACTCACATTTATCAAGAGCCAACTATGTTCCAGGCACCATGCTAACTGCTTTACAAATATCATCTCATTTGATCCTTATAACCGTCTTATAAGATAGGTGCTATTATGAACACTTTACTATAGTTGAAGAATCCATGACAGAGGTTAAATGACTTGACCAGGGTTATTTGGTTGTTTCAGTTGTGATGTCATTGGTCCTCTTCAAGGACAAACGATGAACAACAGTCAAGTCTGACTCTTTGTGACCCCCATTTAGGGGTTTTCTTTACAAAGATACTTGAGCAGTTTGCCATTTCCTTTTGAAGCTCATTTTACAAATGAGGAAACTGAGGCAAACAGGGTTAAGTGACTTGCCCACGGTCACACAGCTAGTAAATGTCTGCAGCCACATTAGAACTTGGGTCTTCCTGACTCCAAGTCCAGTGCTCTATCTGCTGCTGTTGCATGATATGTACATGTATATGTGTGTGTGTGTGTGTGCATGCATGCATGAGAGAGAGAGAGTCTGAGTGTGTTAGTTTTTATGGGAGGACCACAGGGAACATTGTTTTCATTCTCTTCTATCCTGATTTTTGTCTTTGTAGCATACAAAGAGAAAATGAAGGAGCTATCTGTGCTTTCACTGATCTGCTCTTGCTTCTATACCCAGCCACACCCAAACACCATTTACCAATATGGAGGTAAGTGTCCTGTCCACCACCATTTCAGCTAGCAAGATCCTACTCCTATAACTCTCTGGCTTTACTAAAAGAATTTCAGGCCATGTCATAAAGCCTCAAAACTAGGAGAATGACTGCCAGCTCACAAAGGATGCTCTGGCTTATAAAGGTGATTAGGGAACTGGCACTCCTCTATTTGGTCAGAAACAAAATGAGGTAACTACTTCTGGCATCTCCTTCAATATCTGCTATATGATTAAACAGAAGAGAGAAGGAAGAACTCAGAAAATCTTAACTCTTCCCTTCCTCAGCCTTTATGTTTGACTCTGGCCCTTCATTCATGAGCCTGGCTAAAATGCTTGGCACAGAGGATGAATGAGAGGCTTTGAATCAGAAAGAGAAGAAAGCTAGTGAAAAAAATATAAAGTAAAGATATCAGGGAAGATGCTGATTTAAAATCCAGTCAGAAGTTAAGAGGTATGATCCTCTCCCCTAACATATCTGCCTTAAACATGGACGTGCCCTGCAGGAAGAGCTTCTAAGGATTCTTCTAAGTCCCTCATCTTAGTCCAGCCTTTCCCTAGGTAGTATGGATGATAAATGCATCAAACTTGCCTTCTTCTCATAGACATGGAAGTGAAGCAACTGGACAAGAGAGCATCTGGCCAGAGCTTTGAGGTGATCTTGAAGTCACCTTCAGATCTGTCCCCAGAGAGTCCTATACTTTCTTCCCCACCCAAGAAGAAGGACATTTCTCTGGAGGAACTGCAGAAGAGGCTGGAGGCTGCCGAGGAGAGAAGGAAGGTAAAGAATTCTTCTCTCCTACCTGCTCATGAGTTCAAATGATGGAGGCCATGGCCTTAGCTTTTCCTGCTCTGGCTCTATCAGTCATATACCTCAATATGTAAACATGAAGAAGTTTGGCAAGCTTATTCTTTCTAGAGTTTTGGTTGTGAAAATGCTGATCAGCAGGGCTGGTGGCTTAAGTTATATGGGGCTTTTCCTTCTCACAAGCCTTTTTGTAAAATGCAGGGGGGTTTCTGTAGTTCTTTCCACTCTGTCTTTGTCTACCAAGACTACTGGATTAGAGAAAGGGTGCTGGGATTTTCAGCAGCCTGGATCTTTTTTCTGAGTTGTTGGAACTGGTAGTTTGATGCAGGAACCAAAGGCAGCTCCATCCCCATGGAAATCATACTATTGTGGAGAGCTTACATGAAAAATATCACCTTCTTTGGACCCCAGAATGGGGAACCAAAGGCAGCTCCATCCCCATGGAAATCATACTATTGTGGAGAGCTTACATGAAAAATATCACCTTCTTTGGACCCCAGAATGGGGAACCTTATAAGGACAGGGCATTTATCAAGTGACTACAGAACTATGTTAGAGCAAACTCAAACAGGCTCTTGAAAGCCAGTTGTTAAATTTTCAGTGGGACATTTACACCTCTAAAATCAGCAAACAGATCAGGGTTCTATTTGTTTTTTGCTGATTGTCCAGACTTAAGAAGATGATGGAGAATATGTTAATAATGCAGATTAAACTTAAACGCACATCGTGCATACATTCCCTCAACCCCCAGAGAGCTGGTTGTTAGACATTTACTAATTCACCCTTGACGTTAGGCCAGCTGCTAGAGCAGGGGTTTTTAACCTAGGGTTCATAGGACCCTAGTTCTGTGGATAGATCTCAAGGAGGTTAGTGAACTTGGGTGGGAAAATTTTTTTCATCTTTATTTTTACTAACCTCTAAATGATATTTAGCACTTCTTTAATTTGAATGCAGTCAATAATGTGTACGAGTCCACAGGCTTCATCAGACTGCCAAAGGGGTCTATGACCCAAAAAAGTTTAAAAACTACTGCTATGGGGGCTTGCCTAGCATTGTGCCTGCAACATATTAAGTACTTAATAAATGTCTACTGACTGACTGTCTGTCAGAAGTGGTGTCTTTTCTGCATCCCAAAGCATCACCTTCTAGCACTGGGCTAATGGGAGTACTGACCAGGAGTACCTAGTAGACAGAACAATTACTCTCCCAGTCCTTTGGAAAACACTTTAAAAAGATAATTTAAAAAGAGTTGTTTTCTTTAAGGCTTTTCTAGTTTCAGGGTATGGACAATGAGGCGCCTGATAACCCAACACGAGGGCCTTTTTCCCCCTTCTATGGCTTCCCCTTGGGGACTTTTCTGCATCTTTGTAGAATTAATTGGCATCTCAAGACCCAGTTGGTCTCAGTGGAATTAATATTATTCAGAAAATTCTGTTGCCAAATTCCCTGCCTCACTGGCTCCCGCTAAGTCCTATTCCCTTAAGCTTGTCCTTGTGGCCAAAGCCTCCCCATCATTTGATTTCCTAAACAGGATCTAGTCTTCTTAGTCTTCTAGAGGGTGGTCATCTTTGTAACCTGTTCATTATTCCTGAGTCGCTTAGCTTGGATCATTTATCTGTTCTCAGCTCTGGCTGACTGGCACACAACTGAACAGAACTCCATTCAGTTAAATTCAGCAAGTATTTATTGAGTAGCTGTGTTGTGTCTAGCCTGTTTTGGGTGCTGGTAGCATTGAAAATTTATTCACATCAACATACATTTGTTAAGTGCCTACTGTGGGCAAATGTACTGTGTTGTGCATAGGGAACACAAAAATGAAACAGTTCTTGCTTCTAAAAAATCTTGTAGCCTTGTGATGGGGACAAGGAAAATATATAAAGTATATATTACACCACAATAGGACAAGCACACAGTTATCTAAATAGAATGTTGTGGGATACCTGCAGTGCTTAGCCAAGTGACTTACACTTAGTTGTTCTGTTGTTTCTGTCATGTCCAACTTTTTGTGACCCTATATGGGGTTTTCTTAGCAAAGATAGTGGAGTGGTTTGCTATTTCCTTCTCCAGCTCATTTTACAGATGAGGAAACTGAGGCAAACAGGGTTATACATAGTGGACCCTAGCAAATGTTTCTGAGATTTAACTGGACTTACCATTGATAGGGAGGAGAGAATAAGCATTTATATGGTGCCTATGTGCCAGGCACTGTGTCAAGCACACAAATGTTATTTCATTTAATTCTTACAACAACCCTGGAAGACAGGTGCTGTTATTATCCTCATTTTATAGATAAGAAAACTGAGGTGGACAGAGGTTAAGTAACTTGCCCAGAGTAACACAGTCAATAAGTGTCTGAGGTCAAACGAACTCAGGTCTTCCTGACTCTAGACCCAGTACCACCTAGCTTCCTCTCTAACTGAGTGAATCAGTGAAGGTTTCAAGGAAGAACGACACTCAGTTTTGACCTTAAAAGGTTAAAGGTTATAGCAGGCATAATGGAGTAAGAGGTATCTTGTCGCACTGGCAAAGGTTAGACTTGGAATCATGACTGTTCACCTTTGATGTTGATTAGCTGTGTAAAGCTTACTAGTTGTATGACTACAGGCAAGTTACAGCTTCTCTGAGGTTCCATTCCCTTGCCTGCAAAATTAGATGAAGGAAGACTTGTACTACCTACCCTTGCAAGGTTATTGTGATTAAAATGTGAGGCAGAAATCCTCAGGTGCTATAGGAAATGTGAGCTATAATATTTGGACATCTGGAAAGATGCCATCGAAGTCATGGTGGGCAACAAGCACACAGGCACAGCTGGGAAAAAGCAGGATGAAATGGGCCAGAAGGCTTTTGGAGCATGGGCCCTCCCTCAACATTTACAACGTCACATGCATCATTCAGTTAACTAACAATATGCTGCACACAGTTGCATCTCCAGTGGTTTGCAATGACACCAGGAATACATTATTACCAAGTCCTACCAACAGCTCTAACTGGCCCCTGTAATATTGTTTCAATGAATACTGTGCTTGCTCATTAGACAGGGAAAGCCTAAATGTAATATATAATGACATTCTGGTAAAATGTATACATTATTCAATACATAAACCTGTCATATATTTACATAAAACATATAAATATGTTGTTCAGTCGTTTTTTTCAGTCATATTCAACCCTTTGTGACCCTATTTGGGGTTTTCTTGGCAAAGATATCAGAGTGGTTTGCCATTTCCTTCTCCAGCTCATTTTACAGATGAGGAAACTCAGGCAAACAGGGTTAAGTGACTTGCCCAGGGTCACACAGCTAGTCTGAGGCCGGATTTGAACTCAAGAAGATAAGTCTTCTTGACTCTAGAACTATCCTTTCTTTAGAACTATCCTTGACTCTAGAACTATCTATCCCTTGCACCACCTACCTGCCCATAAATATGATTTGCTACTACATAAATATAAATACTGTTGCTGTTGCTGCTATTAGCTTACAAAATGCTTTTCCCCATAGCAATATTTAGTTCAAGTAACTCCCAAAATGATGCTTGTATATACATCTATAAAGCTGGGCAAATATGACTAGATTGTAAAGTTTTTGGATGGGATTGATATGTAAGAAGATTGGAAAGGTAGGAAGGGGCCAAGTTATGAGGAGCTTTAATATTTGATCCTAGAGGTAACAGGGAGACACTGGAGTTTATGGAGTAGATGGGTAGCATGGCAACACCAGTGCATTAAGAAAATCTTTTTGGCAGTCCCATGGAGGATATACTGGAATAGGCAGAGATCTGAGGCAGGAAGATTAGTTAGGAGGCAACTGCAGCTTCTAAGTCAGAGGTGATAAGAGCCAGAACTGTCTTGATTTTCATCTCTCCGCTCCTAGTGCCAGTGTGGGGTCTTGCACATAAGATGAGGGGTGTAATAAATGTTTGTTGAATTGAACTGGAGGGTTTGATGTTTTAGAACTATGGAAGGTTATTCTGCAGGGAACTGACATGATTAAAGTAGTGGTTTTGGGAAGATTACTTTTTGTGAAATGGGGACAAACAACCTTCTAATCCCAGGTTGTGAGCTGAGAGGTTTGTGAGAATAGCTGCAGCACAAGTTTATTGCTGAAAAAGGAGCAAATTATGTGCCCCATTTCTACTGATTGTGTTCCATGTTAAGGTAAGTTATTCTGTGTAATGTACCTACATTATATAAAGAGTACATCTTTGATCCTTCCTGCCGAGTATCTGTCAAGGGAAGACCACTCTATGACTGTTTATATAGTTAGGTAAGCAAAGCCTTTTCTGTTTGGGGGAGGGAAAAGAGGGACCCTTCAGGAATGGATCCCTGGTTTTCACCTGGGACCCTTTGGTTTGCCAGACTCAGGAGGCACAGGTCCTGAAGCAGCTGGCGGAGAAGCGGGAGCATGAGCGAGAGGTTCTACATAAGGCCCTGGAGGAGAACAACAATTTCAGCCGTCTGGCTGAAGAGAAGCTCAACTACAAGATGGAACTCAGTAAGGAGATTCGTGAGGCTCACCTGGCTGCCTTGAGGGAGAGACTTCGGGAGAAGGTGAGTTGGGCAGCCTGCTTCTCCCTCATTCTACTACTCCCTTTCTCCTTCATTCAGGCAAAGAATCCCCACAGGATGAATACCAATGAAAAACCAACGGAAAGAAGGCAGTTTTCATATTCATTAATGACCCTTAGTACCTGGGTTTTGTGGGTTAGAATTATAATAAACATTCCTTATAAAAAGTGTTTTCTCCAGGCTAGTTACTTTCAATTGTGTGTTATGTACATGGTGGGGGGGGGGGGAGGGAGGGGCAGAGAGCAGGAAGAGAAGACTGAAACTCAAATCTTTCAGTCCTCAGGTTGAAATCCTTCAACTCAGAAGCCTTTTCTCCCTCTTCCCCTCACCCCCAACACCTTCCTACCTCAGTTAAGAGACTCATTTAAATACCTGGCACTGCAAGAGGACCAGAGTTCAAATACGGCCTCAAAACACTTAATAGCTTTGTGACCCTGGGCAAGTCACTTAACCCCGATTGCCTCACCAAAAACAAAAACAAAACAGAACAAAAAAAAAACCTGCCACTGACCTAACCCTCCCAGAATTGGACACTGTATTTCAGCCAGGGCTGAATATAGTAGTTCTTTCTCTTACTGTAGACACTTCTGTTACCACTGTTCTGTTCTTGTCATTAATTTGGCCTAATAGCACATTAGTTCTTTTGGTTGCTACATCACAATACTCGCTCACATCACAGTGACGGGAAGAGTGGGTAGGGATAATTCATGTTACTCCTAAAGCCTAAGAGCCTATTAGGTTAGCTGAATGTCATGAACCCAAGTTTTTCCCATTAATCTGGCCTCATCTACCTCTCTAAAGGATAGGAAGCCAAAGTGGGAACTGAATGATCTAAACCTAGGTATGAGAAAGTTTCCCAATGTGAAGGAATGAGGAAAACTACAATCAGGAGGGAAAACAAGAACATCAAGAAAATTGGATTTCTAGGCGGTGGACTCTTCTTCCTCCCTTAACCTTTCCCATGTCTTTGCAGGAACTTCATGCAGCTGAAGTCCGCAGGAACAAGGAGCAGCGGGAGGAGATCTCTGGTTAATGGGCTTTTCTATATGCTTAGCACCTGGTTCCTGATATAAAACAAACAAACAAACAAAAAAAAACCACCCACATTTTTATTTTGTTTGTCTAGATGCAACTTTGTCTTCACTACCCTCCCCCTTCTCCTCTGCCTACTCCTATGCTAACCTCCCTAGTTTATGCTTTTCTCTTAGGATCCTTATCTGTCCAGTCCTTGTGGAGGGCCTTGCTGGCCTTGGAGAACTCTAAACAGAGTAGCCACTAGTTCATATGAATATAGAGTCAATCACATTAATCACCTGACAAGTCAATCCACTTGGTTCCTTCCTGGAATCTTTCATAAACTTATGTAAAAGATGGAGACATTAATAAATTCAACCAACAGTGGCATGGAAATGTAGATTTCTTATCCAAAGTTTGTTCATGATACTTTTTTTTTCATTTAAGAGAATTTATTCTGAGCCAGCTTTCAGTGTCTAGGGATCATGGAATCAAAAGTAATCATTTCTTCTTTGATGGAAAATCATGGGAAGAACAACAATCAATATATCCAGATTATCTTTAGGATTAGAGAAGGAAGGAAATTGGGTGGGAGAGTTAAAATTATGGCGGTTTCCCTTTGGGTTACTGGTTCTAACCCTGATGAGGCTTGAGGTTGCAAAAAATAAACATAACCTGAGGATAGTTGCTAGTTGACTTGCTTAGCTGGTCTGTGTCTTAGCTTTATTCCTAGAAAACAGAAGTGGGGGGACTGAATATATGGATGTCAAATATTAACTCATGGCTGGTTTTTAGTATTATTATTTATTATTATTTTATTTATCATTTATTTATTATTATTATTATTTTATTATCATTATTAAGCATAGTATCAGTGCTCAGAGGCGATGCGGAAACTAAAGATCTACATTCTTTAGAAATGAAGTTTGGAGTTGGGAAGCCTGGCGCTGTCTATGACAGTTCCAATCAGGAGCAGTGATATGTCTGTTACCTAGGACAGAAATTTTCACAAAAAACATTACGATAGGGAGGATTAGATATTATATACCAATCTAAAGCATTGAAAATCAAAAACTTTGCAACAAGGGATAGTGACTTATCCTATATGGTACTTTTCAGACTTTTTATGAAGAGGTAATTAGTACTAACATAGTTAACTCCTCAAGCATTACTAAGAAAAGTTCATAGGAAGCTCTGCTTTATCCATCTATAGACTACATAAAGTCCATAGTTTATTTTTTTCAAAGGACTCAAAAATGGGGAGATAAAGGACAATGGGTAGACTCACTTCTGTTGTGTGGTGGATGGAAGTCCAGGTTTTCTGCTAACTGTAGAGGACGCCACCAGTGTGGACTGATGTAAGAACGTGCTGTAAAGAGAATGTTTTGGTATGTCTACTCATACTATGAAAGCAACAACCTAGGTAGACACAAATTCCAGATCCAGACCACATGTGGGAGTAGACTGAATACTAGAAGACAAAATAAAAGGCAATTACTCAGCATGACCTAGACCTTTCATTGTGTGGTTTCTTTGGTGAACATTAGCTCAGATTTGTGACTTTGAGCTTAGCAACTCATCTGTAATTTACTGAGAGTTGCCCAGAGTACTGAAATATAAGTGACTTTCCCTGGTCACACAGCTTGTCTGTCATAGGTTTGGATTTGAACTCAGAACTTCCAGACTCCAAGACTGTCCCTCTGTCCACTCAGATCTACTATTCTATGCTTGGTGGACAATAAATATTTTAATTCTTTTCCTTCTTATATTCTTAAAACTTGTGAAAACTGGATACCATTTGCTTCTAATTTCTAGCAACCTTATTAAATATTTATTTTTATTCACCTCTTTTTGGCACCCAGCTCTCTGGTAGTATAAGTAAGCTACATCAGCTGAGGATTCTTCCATAGGGCATAGGTAGCACAGGGATAGATCACAGGCTCATGGTCTATCCCTGTGAGTTGGAGTTGGCAGGTATCTTAGAGGTCACCTAATCCCACTCTCTCATTTTACAGATAAGGAAACTGAGGTACACAGATAATTTGTTCAAGGTCAGGCAGTTGTAGAAAGTTAATGGATTCAATTATCTGATGATTTAAGTGTCTGGGGAGAGTGAAAAGGGCTGAAATCCACAGAAGTATTTCGTTAATTGAATCTCACCCAAACATTGCTTATCATATTTTCTATTTTACTGATGGGAAAAATAAACAACAAAAAAAAAATCCCAAACCTCTCTGTCAGTTCCAGTGGGGTGGACCATCTTTAATGTTGCAATTCCTTTTTCTTAAAATGTAAGGGCCACCTTACAGCCTTGTTTAAATTAATCTGGGAACTGAGAACAAATTTTCCTTTTCATATATTTGCTGAATCTAGTAGAAAAAACTAGGTTACTTCGTTTTACCTCCTAAAGCACTTTCATGAGTAAAAGCCAAGGCAGGTAGACATTCAGAGTTATCTTACCTTGGCCAAAATACTCCTTTTACACAAAGTTGTTAATCTAATACTCACACAAATGTTTATCTTGTGTCTGGAGTCCTTTTGGCTGACTGTAACAGGTGTCAATTTACTCCCCACCCTCTTTGTAAAGATGAGCTACTTTTAATTTCCCTTATATTGGAAGCAATGTTGTGGAAGTGATGAAGTTAGTGCACTTTGTGTTTCATTCATGTTCCAATGCTAGGTATGACTTAAATCTACTGGGGGGGAGGGGGGACGCCTGCCATTTAGCATCAAAGAGACTGAGTCCCCATAGCTGAACAAGTTTAGCAGTTATTTTTCCTAAAGTTGCTGAAAACTCACCACCAAGACTGCCTCCAGAGGGAGCTGGAAGCCATGATTAAGATTTAGCCATGGCCAAAGGCTAAAGTTGCTTGGGGCAGTGAAAGAGAAGAAGAAATGGAACTGAAGGTTGAATTTCTTAATAGTCACCAGTTTCTAGCAGGTAGTAATTCTCATAGCAGAAATTTACTATAATTCAGACTCATCTTCTTCATATAATAAGGTAAAATTTAAAAGTTAAGAATTACTTAAGTTAAATTAATAGTACTAATAAAATCTGTGTGTGTGCTAGAGTGTAAGTAATGGTTAAAATGTTGGTGTCCTACATCTGTGGGATATGGGAAACTGTCTGCAATTAACTTTGTCCTACTACTCTGTGATCGTTTCCTTGGGGTGTAATTCCAAACTGAAACTTGTAAATACCTTTTATTAGTGATAATTCTAAGAAATGTTGTACTCATGAGTTTGAATATTTGAGAAGGGCAGGAGGGGTATTAGGAAATAGGACAGCCTTGGGGTACAGAAGCTATTCTCAAAAGGAAGATATTGGGTTGGGTTTGAAAGAGGCCTTATGAGTAGATCTGGACTTAAAGCCAAGGATATTTGACAGTGCCTCCTCAGAGGATTTAGCCTAAACTACCAATTTCCTGGGAGTAGCAACTGATGGTAATCAGTTTTCCTCAGGAATCCTGTTAAGGCCTAAGACATATGTAGTTTAAAAGAAAATAAAATGGTCAAGATAGAAGAATCAAGGCCAAGGCTCCATATTTCTCTGAATAGAAAACTTCATATTCCTTACCTTGATCCTTGGATGCTACTAGGTTTCTTTGGGAAATACAGTTGAACTGCTTCATAGCACACAGCATTCCAATGCCCTCATCAGTTGGCTGAGAGGATAAGATCCAGCATTAATTAGGGAAGGCCAATGCAATTCCTCAATGACTCTTTCTTGGTGGCTTTGCCTATTGTTTTGATTTCTTGTTAACTCACTCTTATTGTCCAAGCTGGTCATTTGGTTAGCTTGTGTCAGGAGTGAGCAGTTTGGGACAGGCCTCCATCTTTTCACCTAATTCTCATAACCTTACTCTTTCCCTATGTTCCCCAACCTCTGTTTACTAAGGAATAGCAACTCTTAAAAAATAATTATGGGGACTTCATGTTGTGCTGAACCCCTGACATTCCCTAGACTGTAAAGAGGCAGGTAATATCCCTTGGCTGTGGAACAGAACTCAGTTGAAATTAAAGATAATTATCTTTAGTGCTGGAAATTGTTCCTGACCCCTCAAGCACAACAGTACTACTGCTGGTTTCGTATAAGATCAAGAATCTGGAATTATACCTTCCTTCAATCGTGTTTGCAAGCCATTTCTGAGCTTACCCAGATTTCAAATCTCATTCCTAGAGAAGGCACAATGCTTGCTCCTTACATCTGACTAAAAAAACCTCAACTGTCCTCCCTCTTCCTACCAGCTCACTGGACATTATCAATCATTCTTTAAGGCTGGTAGGGAAGCCTTAAATTATATGACACAGAAATCCCATGAGTAGGAAATAGAACTGTTTTCTTTTGACTACCTCCCATCACAGTTTTCCATGGCTTTAAAGTAGGAAAATAAGGGAGATTAAAAAAAAAAAATTATCATTGGAAAACCTGGAGAAGTAAAAATGTCAGAAAAGAGATTGGGATTTTGTAAAAGGATATAAGTAGAAAAAAAAAGCCAATCCAATGCCATTTTCTCTGTGCAGAGTTGTCAGTTGAGATTAGCTATTCTGGGGGGAGAGGGGGAGAGAGAGAGGGAGCGTGAGCATGTGCCGTGTGTGTGTGTGTGTGTGTGTGTGTGTGTGTGTGTGTGTGTGTGTGTTGACAGGGATCTGTGGTTTTAGGACATTTGCAATTATAGCCCATTTCCTCTTTAAACTTTTGGTTATGCACCCCCCCCCAAACTGTAAAATCAGGGTAGTCCTGGTATAATATTCACACCATATAAAGGTTGTAGTCATGCGGTAGGAGGGAGGTTGGTTTTGTTGTAAACATTTTTTGTGGTAGAAATATAAAGATAAAATAGAAATACTGATTGCAGACTGTCAGTGTAAGTAGTTGTTTACAAATTAATACACACTCCATACATATACTATAAATATCCATTTAAAACTGAAATTTCAATGTTTCATTTGGGTTAGTCACTGGGCCAATATGGTCTTCTAACAATGATCTTAATTGCATAGTTCACCTTTGTCTGCTGTGCCCTAGCATTTTATCGAACCTGCATTATTTCAAACATACATCTGTAATGTGTATACATACACTATGAAGTACATAGATGTGCAGACATGTACATCCATGTAATATGTATACACTGACATTTTTATCCCCACATGGTCAGGCAAAGGCTGATTATGGTGCTATAGAGATTTAGTTCCTAACCATGCTAGGGGATAAAGTGATATACTAAGACTAATAATGCATCTGCTAGGTGTCCTTTGTGGAACAAAGAGGGAGTGCTGGCCACTATTAAGGCTTCTTTTATCAATAAGCTGGTGGATCATATCCTCTATGTAACTAATGTAGTTTCTTTTAAAAAAGACCAGCCACTGACAGAGAAAGTCAAAGCCAAAAAGGCACTCTGTACAGCCCTCAAAGGATTAAGTTTGGGTTCAGTAGCTTTAATGTCACTGGGCCTACACAGGATCCATTCCTTACAAGATGGTGTGTACAGCTTTCAAATACATAGAACAAGAAGCTTGTGAAGGATTCCTACCAATCTGACGTCACCTAGTTCCTTTAGTGCATTTCATTGTCAACTTAAGGTTGTTGTTGTGCAAAAGAAGTGATGATAAAAAAGAATAAAGTTGGTATTAAACTATGTGCTTCTATTTTTTTTAACTAAAGAAAATTTTTGATATCCAGAAAGTTAGAGGTATATATTAACTAATTAAAAAGGAATCCAAGAATTACTTCACCACTAAGCTGGATTGAAGATAAGCCTCACATTTCCCTAAGAACGTATAGGTGCTTAATCAATTTCTCAAATGTGATGTTTCTATTAAATGTCCCCAAATACTGAATAAACTTTACCTATGTTGATCTAATACAACCTCCAAATTTCTAGGACATCTATATATAATAGCTAACATTTACTTCATGCTGTACTTCTTTTCAAGACTGTTATTCTGACTACTATATGAATGAACTAAACCAAGTCTTCAGAAGATGTTACCTGCTACACTGAAAAGTATCACATTACACCCTACACTGACATAACTTGAGATATTTTCGAATGAGATTTTATTATAGTAAAACACTGGAAGATATCAGAACCACTTAACAAATTAACTAGTTTTATCTTATTTATTTTTTTGCTTTTTGGTGAGGCAATTAGGGTTAAGTTACTTGCCCAGGGTCACACAGCTAGTAAGTGTCAAGTGTCTGAGACCGGAGTCAGGTCCTCCTGACTCCAAGGCCAGAGCTCTATCCACTTCGCCACCAAGCTGCCCCGAATTAACTAGTTTTAAAACAAATGGCTGAAGCAAATTAAACTTGCCTTAGCTATATAGCTTACATATTTCTGAGTGAGTTACAAAATCCATTAAGGTTCCTTTCTTTGGCTTTTAAAACAATTTTTATTGACATGCTTTGATTTTACATCACATACATTTCCCATTCTATACTCCATTCCCACTCTCAGAGCCATTCCTATAAGAATAGGAGGAAAAAGTAGTTTAGCAAAAGTAACTAACACATAAAAAAAGCCTGACATTCTAAGTAGTATTCCATACTCATAGTCCTTAATCTCTGGAAAAAAAATAAGGGGTTACAGTCTTACCTCCTCTTTGGAAGGAAATTAGCATTTATTAAACACCTACTATGTACCAGGCACTTTCCCAAATATCTTATTTATTCCTCACAACAACCTTGTGAGGTAGGTGCTGTTATTATTTCCATTTTACAGATGAGGAAATTGATGGAGGTTAAATGACTTACCCAAGGTCACACAGCTAGTAAATGTCAAGGATGGATTTTAACTCAGGATTCCAGGTACTCCACCTAGCTTTTCTTTTGTAAATGAATAACATCCACTTACAACACGGTATACATGGTTTTGCTTCATTTTGTATCATATAATGAGCCTTACTCTCTTTCTCTATATTTACCATATTCATTACTTTTGATCAAACATTAATATTTTGTTACTCATATATTACTATTTGCCTTTGGTTTTCAAAACCAAATCAATACAAATACAGAGCAAAGGCATAAAAAAAGCTTTATCTTTTACTATATTTTATAAAATGATTATTTTAAAAGACAGAGGTTCCTTTTACAAGTAGAATAATTTCAGGGAATAATTTCACTAAGCTTCCTTTATAATAGAGGCTATGCACACACACCTATAAATGCAAACCCCATGTTGCTTTAGACTAAGTGGAGTCCATTTAAATTTTACAAGTACAATTGGGGGAATCTTTTGGAACAATAATTTATGTAGCACATTAAAGCTTACAAAGCACTTTTCTCACAACCTGATGAGTTGAGAATAATCATATCTGCTCTACCTACCTCACATGTGAAGAAATCTGGGCTCAGAAAAATTAGAAGAACTCTCCAGAATAGTGCCAAGTAGAACCTGGATATTCTGACTCAAGACCACTTCCATTTCTACCATCTCTACTTCCTCTCTGGCTTACATAATGGAACACTTTGCCCTTCTTTAAAAAAAAAATCAAGGAGCTAGGCTTGCTATTGTTACATATATATGTATTATATATATAATATATATTATACATATTACATATATAATACATGTGTGTATATATATATGTATGTATGTATACATATTTTGGCAAGGCAAGGGATGAACTGACTTGCCCAGGGTCACACAGCTAGTGTCAAGTGTCTGAGGCCAGATTTCAACCCAGGTCTTCCTGAATCCTGGGCCTGTGCTCTATCCACTTCGCCATCCAGCTGACCCTTAGGCTCGCTATTGCCTCAAGATCATGGTAAAGTGCAATCCTGAAGAGTCCCACCTTCTTTACCTTAGCATCCCCGAACAATTTAATAAGAGGAAATTACTCCCCCTACTCTGGATACCTCTCCATGGTGGCTTCAAGAAAGACCTATAATTTGACAGAATTAAAAGGACTGAGGATTACACATGTAACTAAAGAAAACTTTCTAAGAACTAAGACATTGAGATATGAGAAATAGGAAGTAGGAATCTTGTCACCAGGAGGAGAAAGAACAAATATTTCTCCAGGTGACCCAAATATTTTGCTACTCCTTTTGGCATAACTATCAAGCATTTCTAACCAAACAATGAGAACGTACATTGTGTTTCTGGAGTGATTCTTCAAGATTTCAAGGGCTTACATATGCAACCACATAAGTTTTTTCTCACAGGGACTGGGAACATTATTAACACCCACACATACTTACCAGAATAGAGTAATAAATAAAATACTGGACTTGGGAATCAAAAAGGCAGAGGTTCAAATATTGACCCTGAGGCATACTTTCCTCTTATGGTTGTTGGGAGCTGGGTCAGCCGTGGGCGAAACTGAGGAATTTGCAGGATATTTACTCAAGGAGAAACTCAGACTGTCCCCTATTCTGGCCTGCTGGATTTCCCCCAAAGTAAAAATTTAACTTCCGACTCATCATCAAAATACAACCTCCCTGTGTCTAATTTCCTACAAGGTGAAAGGGATAACTTGTATTATGACGCCCATTTTACAGGTGGGTAAACCGAGGCTCTCACAGCTGGATTTGGGGAGGGGTGCTTTCTGTACATTCCCATCATCTTCCCTAGATTAGAGCAATCTTCCTGTTTTCTTCACTAGTTTCACTTAGCGGCCCACCCACAACCAGCTTCCCTCAGTGCAGGACGATACCAGAGAAGACGCCCTGATCTCTCCACCCAACTTGAAGCCCGAGTTGTCTAACGCGGTTGCTCGCTGCAGCATGGAACCTGCCTTCTACGCGCAAGCGCGCAGGGGCCCGCCCAGGACTTATTTCACAGTTCCCAATCAGCCCTGCTCCCGCCTCCCTACGGAGGCTTTTCAAACCACAGGAGCACCAAAAAAGTCACCCCCTCCCCCTTCCGCACCCCTCCTGCGTGCGCGCCCCTCGCCTCCTGCGTCACCCGGGAGGCGCGCGCCCGAGCCGCCGCCGCCGCCGCCGAATATCCAACAAGGAGCGAGCCCAGTGGCCGCTGTCCTCGCCAGCGGAGTCACCGCCACCCTCCCCTTCCCTGCCCCCGTCGTTGGGCGTTTGAGCAAGACTGGTTTCGGTTCTCCCCGAGGTAAGCGGTAGCCACAGGGGGGTCTCCCCGGCCCGATCCCTTCCTCTCACCTCCCTCTCACCCCCCCGCGGCGAGGCCTCTCCGGCTCCCCTCACGCACCCGTCCGTCCAGTCAGGGGTCCCTGCGGAGCGTCAGGACGTTACGGCAGGAGGGGGGGAGAGGAGGAGGAGGAGGAGGAGGCGACGGCGACGGCGACGGCGGCGGCAACGGCCGCAACGGCCGCCGGCGGCAGTGACTGCAGCGTAAATACGGCGCGAGACGAAGCCGGCAGCCGCGTGCGTCAGGCCATTCCCACGCCCTCCCCCTCGCCTCGCGCCTCTGCCCCCCACGGGGTGGAAGGGGAGGGCTGGAGGAAGGGGACGGGGATGTGCTGCAAAAGGCGGCCTGGGTAGGGGGTGGGGGAGAATAGTGGTGTCTCCGCCAGCCACCCCCGCCGCCTCCTCCTGGAGCTTGCCGGGGCGGGCTGGCGGCGCGTGCATGCCGCCCCGTTCCTCTCCTTCCCGAAGAGCGCCGTCTCCCGTAGCCTCCTGTCTCGTCCGGCTCGCCCGTTCCCTCCTTCGGAGCTCCTCCTCCCCCAGTTGCATGCAACAAGCAGGCCTCCCCTCCGTATCAGCATGCCCCGTGAATAGCTCCCCGCGGCGCCCTTTTGGTTCCCTCCATTACACGCCTAGAGCTGGCTCCCCGCCCCCCACCAGCGTGCGGCCTCCCGGCAGTTGCAAGTACCGTGTCCAGGCTGGTCCGAAGCCCTCCCCGCCCCGGTTGGTGCTGCCTGCAAAATCCCGCTCCCCCCGCCCCAGTGGGAGCCCCCGAGCTGGGTCTGCGGGCTCTGCCTGGCTACCCGGCTGGCTGGGAGGAGGAGGAGGAGGAGGCAGCGGCGGCGGCAGGAGGAAGGAGGGGGCCCTCGCGCCGCGCTGGACGGAGCTGGGCGTTGTGCCCTTCTCTGCGATGCGGTTGGGAGGCGGCGTTTCCGCCCTTCTCCCCCCCCCCCGGGGTCGGGGCCCCCGCTGGCCTCTGCTCAGCCCCGGGCCCCCGGCGCAGCTGTCAGGGGCTGCTTCGTCACAGGTTCCCCAACACTCCTCAAACTAACCTGACTTGGCCACGCATGGCCCCGAGCCCCTTTCTCCCCACGAGCTCCTCCGTTGACTGAGGAAGGCTCTTTTTCAGACCCCTCTCCCTACCCCCTTCCACCATACACGTATGGCTCTCCTTGCAGAGTAGCATTATGCTGCGTGCTAAAAAGAAAATTGGTACTTTTTTATTTTAAGTCAGAAGTATTATAGAATCAATATTAAAGCAGATCATGAACATGAAAAATAACTGGAGAAAAATCTTAATATACTATGACCACAGTTGGGGCAAAATTAGATTGACTGGGATGTCATTGACATTATATACTACTGTACAGCCAATAATGCACAGTACTGTTGTCCATACAGTTAAGGTCCCAAATCTGAGTTTATCTGAATCAAGATACTCATCCTTTATCCAGATTCTTGCTTGACAGTCTACTTGGCTATGTAGACCTACTAGCTTTGTGGGTGGACTAGGAAGAGGAAAGTTCATATGGCCATTTCTGGGCCTTTTTTCCCCCTCATTTAAAAAAAAAAGCAAATTGCAATAGTATCCTTGGGTATTCTGGGTTGGAGTCTGTGTCATTTTACAAGGGTAGGTGATGAGTGTTTAAGGAAATATAGAAGAGACTTATCTTTTTGTGGACATGAAACTAGTGTGACCCTGAAAGTGTGTGCAAAATGAGTTCTTATGGATAGTGTTAGGAGATTTGATGTACTTAAGCAGTATTTCTGCTTTATGAAGAAGTGAATGCATTTAGCAAAGTGAGTGAGTGAACCAACCAACCGTAGGTGTGCTCAAGTGGGAACTTGTACATGTAACTTATATGTGTAGGTGTAGAATATCTGTAGAAATGAGAAGCTCATCTATGTATTTCTCTTCTGGTTGCTCAGATGTGGAGGAGTACATACCTCTGTGGGAGAAGTTGATGTTTTAAAAATAGTTTTAAAAGGAACAAAGTATTGGTTGATGATACAGCTGTGTGTGAAGCATCTATCTGCTTTAGCTGCAGTATTATTTAGCTGACTAGTAAAATTTAATTATAAATGTAATTGATAGTCCCTGTTAATTTAAAGACTAAGGAATTAATTTTAATGAAACTTCTTAAACAGTTAAAATTGAAAGGAGAGTGCTGATAAGTTTGTGATTTCTGAGTGTGAAATAGATTTAACTGTTAAATTACATTTTTAAAATCTATTTTCTCTATTTTACTGAAGCCTTTTGCTTCTACTTCACATTCATTTTAAAATATATTCTGCTTTGTAGCCTTCTTTAACAAAGTTTTTTTTAAAACAACAGCTTGAACACTTTATTTTCACAAAGACATGATATAACAATTAAGGTTTATATTATGAGGTTAGATGTTATATTTTAAAGAATACTGTTCAGCTGTTTTTGCATTAAAAATAGACCCACTAACAGGAATTGCATTAATATGGACTTGACTGTATTTTGTATAGAAAACATTTTTCATTGATAAGTACATTTTTTCCATTACTTTTCTTTGAAGAAAAATGAATTTTATTTTATTTTATTTTTGTTTTGTTTTTTAGGCAATTGGGGTTAAGTGATTTGCCCAGGGTCACACAGCTAGTTAGTGACAAGTGTTTGATCTGAGGCCGATTTGAACTCAGGTCTTCCTGACTAAAGGGCTGGTGCTCTATCCCCTGTGCCACCTAGCTGCCCCAAAAGATGAATTTTAAATACCAAACAATAACTTGGTGATTTTTTTTTTAAAAAACGTAATGATCCTAGCTGAGGGGGAAATATTGAAATAATTACCAACAAGCCCCCCAAATAGATGGATGCCATCTTTTGGCTTTCAGTACTTATGTGTATGGTGCACATACTGTGCGTGTGTTTTATATACTATTTTTGTGTTAAGGATAAATTCCACATTGCCTACTCACATAACCATGCTAGTATATTTTTTGGATGTCTGTGGGTGTCATATCTTCTGTACCAGATTGAAAGCTCCTTGAATGCAGGATTGCCTATATTAGCCCTTGAGCTAGTGAGAACTTGATAAGTGTCATGAAAGTGTTTTATTGTCACAGTTCTCATTTCCCTTTACTACTACTTTTAGCAAACTGACTCTTGAAAAAAAAAAGTTTTAATTCTGTGAAAATAAGCTGTATTTAACTTAGGATTTCACTTGTACCAGTTCAGTTATCTTTTGAAAAGGGAAGCTGAAATAGGTAGCATGTATAACAACAGGAATAAAACAGATTTTGGATTCATAAGTTGTTTTCTTAGGAAGAAAGCTTGGAGAAAATGTTTGTATATACCAGACAGACATATATTTAGGATACTTTTGCAAGTATGTTCATATACTCCCAAAAAGCCTTTCACCAAACTTTCATTTTTAACAGCAAGGTTCTTTGGATGCACTTTCCGAACAAAAGACATGAACATACATTGTTTTGTATGGCGTTTTGTCCAAAGAGAAATGACTGTGGTATTTCCATAAGAAATGGAAAAGCTGGGCTTTTGATTTTGAGTGTACCAATAGCACATTAAAGTTGAAGTTGTATTTGTATTTACCTTGTTTTTGTACATAGGCTCTTATGTAAAATGTAGTTCATAGCTTTTTGTAATTTCTATTCAGGTAATTTTTGTAGTTTCTATTTGGACATAGACTGAAATCTGTTGTGTTTGAATTTATCACCCAGTGTAGATTCTTTGGGCCCTTATATTGAAGATATGGAAAGTTATGTAGGTACACTGTGGAATCAAGTCTTAATAACCTTTTGTAACGTTAGTAACATTTTGCCGTGTAGCTAGTTTATTTTGTAGCCAAGGATATTGTACAAATGATCTGTATTAAATTTACTTCCAGTGTAATATTAAAGTATTCTAGTTTCCATTGGAGATATAGGAATTTTGTTCAGTGTTATCTGTTAAAAAAGCAGCTTTAGTTAAGCAAGATTTGGAAAGCCTTGAATCCCTGGGTAAGGAAGTTGGAGTTTATTCAATAATGATGGTCTCCAAACATTTGTTAAGTACATATTCTGTGCCCAGTCTGTACTGACTCATAGGGATACAAAAAATGGCAAAAACACAGTCCCTGCCCTCAAGGAGCTTATATTCTAATGAGAAGGACAATATGCAAACAAAAATGTGCATTTGAGAAATTTTCACTTGAGGATGTGCCTATGGCACTAAGAGTCAAGTTTCTATTTAAGTTTGACTATTTTAGCGTAACAGCAAAGCTCAGAGCTCAGCCTAGTTAAAATGAACAGAGCAGTTTTCTGCAGGTAAATTATTAATAAAGATAAGAAAATTTGAGTGGCCTTTTTTGATTTAGATGTTTCCAGTTATGAAGAGAGCTAATGTTTAAGAAGAAAAGTTAAAATTAAGAAAGAACTAGAACTTGAATCAGTGTAGATTATTTACTTTAGAATTATTAAATGTGATTTTTTTAAAAGTGTGGCATTTAAAATAATTGTTCATGTATGTATATTAAATTTACAGACCTTTATATAGAAGCTTTAAGCTGCTTATGTAAATACAAAATTTATTTTAAATATATACTATTCATTAAGTGTTTAATACACGTGGGAGCATGAATTTAAAATTGTAAATATAACTAGCTTCAATTTTGCAGCTTCTCTCACAGAATTGTTTGAAAATGGAGTCCATCTTCTGGAGATTCTGGCACAGGCTGGGTCACATGCAGCAACTGGAAGATATGCTCATGCACATGTGAACACTTCCCTTCCACTCCATACAGATATTGTATTAGCTTACTGTTTTGTTTAAAATTGAAACGTTAATAAACAATGTATTATGTAAGAGTACTGGAGCTGTTTCTTTATTTATATACTTAAACCTTCTACTTTTTTAATAATGTTTTCCACATCTATTAGTTTCCCATAGCCCTTTAAAGCAGTATCATCCCCTTATCGTATTAACCTGTTAATAACTTGGAAGTTACTTGAGGCTTATTCTAAGATGTCATTTATATTCCCAGAATTCTTTCTTCTTTTGTTTTGTTTTGTTTTTTCTCAGAATTCCCTCCCTACCTAAACCTTCCATCTCAGGACACCGCTCTTAAGACATTTACCTATAATTTTTTTTCTGACTACTTTTCCCTAAGAAGCATGGATTTTTTTTTTTTTTTTGAGAAATGGTACTTTTCTTTCTCTCATCTATATCTTAGAAATTTATATTTAAGTACTGTCTTCGTATTTACTTGATTTCTTGTCTCTGATTTATATATCTAGGACTAAAAAGAAAAGTATTAATTTGTAGTTTGGTGGACCTGTAAATCCCACTTGGTCACCATGCTCCTTTCCTTCATTTATTACCAAACTTACTTATTTCTGGTTGCTGAATCAGGAGTGTTGGGACGACCACTCTCAGGGAGAGGAGGATTCTAAAAGTTGTGGGCAGGTATCCTGGTCTTCATATTTGCCCATTCTGTTCATCATTATTTGTGGACCAACAATTAATAGCCAGCTGAATATCCAATTTAGCAAGTCTTTTGTAAAGGTATGCACATTCTCCCCCACTCCTACCTCCACCCAAATGAATTTAGATCAAAGCCACTATTATGTCTATTCTGTACTTAGTGTAAAATTTGTTAAATGGTCTAATTTTTTTTGTTTGCTATTCAAAGGCTAGATTATCAAATACTTTGAGGTAACTCCTGAGTATTCAGGCAAAGTTATTTAAAATTTGTCCTATCTTCCTTGTATATTTTGTTTTTCAGTCATATCTGACTCTTTGTGACCCCATTTGGGGTTTTCTTTGCAAAGATTCTGGAGTGGTTTGTCATTTCTATCTCCCGCTCGTCTTGCAGATGGGGAAACTGAGACAAACAGGGTTAAGTGACTTGCCTAGGGTCATGCAGCTAATAAGTGTTTGAGGCCAGATTTGAACTCAAGAAGATGAGTCTTCCTGACTCTGGGCCCAGCACCCTATCCACTGCATTACCTAGCTGCCCATATATGTCCTTTTATATTAAATAGAGAAAATAGTATTTATAGTTTTTTTAAAAACAAGGGATCACAACTGAGATATTGTTTTGTAGTACTTTATAACCTGAAGAAACTTTAGTGCTCAGTGAGTACAGAGTATGGGTTTAAGCCAAGGTTTTAGATTTACCTCCAGCCATTCAGTCTTGCACAGATTAAATGTTGAATTGGCTGGTTTTCTGGAAAGTACCAGGTCATAAAAGTGACTGGGTGAGAATATGTATAGGTTTGGGCAAAGCTATCATCTCTACTAAAAAAGCAACTCAAAACCCATGTCTTAGTGATAGTGTTATCTTGATAGTACTAGTGAAAGGTGACAGTGATGTTTTGAAATGTAGCACACAATATAGTATTCACTTTTTATAGTACCTGGAACAGTAGGTTTTATTAGTAATTTTTGGAGTTGAAAGTTTTATAAGATTTGGTAAAGATTATTAACAGAAGGTTCCTAGGTTTTTCTTTGGAGAGTTTAAATGATTAAAAAAAAAATCTGCCTGTTCTTTTCTGGTATGTATTTGATAGGGAAAGAGGTAAGGCTATCTAGCTGACTATTTTCCTTGCTTAGGAAGTTGAATTTTGCTTCTCAGAGCTGTGACTTGCTGGTGGGTTATGGTGCAGCATGATGATGTTCTTTGACAAGGTTCTTTTCATCAATTCCCACATTATTTGGAAAGACACTATCAGTTGCTGATGAAAATCCTGGGTTGCTGCTTAAACCCTGAGTTGTTGAGGCCTGTGACACTTCCTTGAAGTGCTACCATACCCTTAGAATCCTTTCTACTGGGCACTAGACCAGAGCTTCTGGAGGAGGGATCTTGGATGCTTAGCAATACCCTATCCTAGTGATTTTTAGATTCAGAGAAGTGATAGGACTTTAGATACTAATTTGTTCCTGCCAAATCTAAAAGTACTGTCATTTCTCTGAGTCCAAAAAATTGCTAGCATATGCTGTTAATATACTTATCTTAAGTATGGGGAAAAAGGATTGTAGTAAAAGATGGATCCTTGCCTTTAATCAGTGAATTGCAACTCAAAAGTCTTTTTTTTTTTTTTTACAATACTCTTGTATACCCAAGACTCTTCACTACAATAGACTTAACAGATAAAGCTTGTATAATCTAGTACACTGTGCATTGTGCATTTCAATGTGAAAACTATTGTAAGAGAAATGTAGTCATAAATGTTCATTTTCTTCTTTAGTGCCTTTCACCAAAACATCCCAGTTTTTGTGTGTCAAAACTTTTTAAAATAACCTGGACAGGTGTGCTGTGAGCTTTTTGTTATACTGGTATTTTAGTGTTAACAGCTTTTGCTCAAAATAATTGTGCCAGCAGTTGGATTGAGGGATTATTTATATTATACTGAGCATTAAAAAAAAAATTGGTTTTGCCCTGTAGTTATTTTATCCAAAAAAAGATGACTTCCCTGTGACCCGTTTGTGATCTTATTTGTTTTTTGGCCAGGACTTATAATCCTGGGGGAGTCACTGCATTACTGGTAATTGGTATCTTCATCTGACTAATCATGGCAACCCCCGATGTGAGTGTCCACATGGAGGAAGTGGTGGTTGTGACAACACCTGACAATGCAGTTGACGGCAGTGGTGTGGAAGAAGTGAAAACTGTGTTGGTGACAACAAACTTGGCTCCTCATGGGTAAGAAACTGATCTTTCGTCTTGCTTTTTGCAAGGTTACAAATTGGAATCTTGTTAGGGCTTTGTCCCCATCATAGCCAATACATTTTTTTTTTTGGATATTTTAAAAAGAGTAGCATTCTGCAAGCTTTTGTTTTAGAGGCAGCTTGATGGCGCAGTAGATAGAACTCTGAGCTTGGAATCAGGAAGACCTAAGTTCCAGTACAGCCTCAGACACTTACTAACTGTAAACCTGGATAAGTTGCTTAACCTCTGTTTGCCTCAGGCTCCTCAACTGGAAAATGGGGATAATAAGAGTACCTACCTCACCATGAGGATCAAATAAGATAATATTTGCAACACGCTTAGCACAGTGTATGGCACACAGTGTAGGCACTTAATAAATGCTTATTCCCCCCTCTTTTAGTTGGACACATTTATTTTAGAGTCGAATCAATTGATACGTTAAGTGATTTTTTTGAGAGGAAATAAAACATATTAGTCTTTGCCTGAAATCTAAGAAAACCTAGCTGTAATCCCATGATATTTGTCTTATATATTGCCTACATCAAATTGGTGTGCTAGGACTTGTTTTCATGTTAGGTGAGCTGCCATGGAGGTGGTAGCTTTATGAATTTTTCTTATTAGAGAACTTCAAAAACTTTTTCTAGATGGAATGGAAAATTTGATGATTTCTGTTGTTTCTGTTAATAACTTCATCTGTGAATTTTTCTAATCTTACTATATTATGTAACAATAAAGAAATGTTGATTAAAAAGAGGCTACTATTTTGTTTTCATTGACTTTTTTTTTGTTTTTGTTTTTTTTTGGCTAAGCAATGGGGTTAAGTGACTTGCCCAGGGTCACACAGCTAGTAAGTGTCAAGTGTCTGAGGCAGATTTGAACTCAGGTCCTCCTGACTCCAGGCCGGTGCTCTATCCACTGAGCCATCTGGTTGCCCCCCCCATTGACTTTTCTTTAAGTAAAAACGCAGCCATGTGACCAAAGTGATTATCAGTCTTTCCTTTCCCACATAAAAGAAAATGATGGTGATATAGATCCCATAGAGAGAGAACTTTAAGATCTATAAAAATATATTCCTACCAGTATCCTTATGAAGAGTTGGTAGTATTAAGCATTAGCATTTTACAAATAATGAAACTGAAACTCAGAAAAGTGAAGTAGTTTGCCTAAGGTCACACACCTACCTAACAAATGACAGAGCTGAGACTCAACTGCACATCTCCTGACTCCAAGTCCAGTGTTCTTTCCATACTGCTGTGTACTTCAATATCACTTTATGTGCAGAATAGAATGTACTTTAATATTTTAAACCTTGAGAATGATGATCATTTTTGTCCTGCTGTCCTTAATCATTTACTGGATTATAAACTCCTTGAGAACAATGGAGGTGATAAATCTTTGTATTTGCATAAGCCCCTAAATGGGTACTTAACAGATACTGTACTTGTTAACTTAGTTTGCTGCATCTTGAGTGACCTTTCCCTACTGTCCTGCCACTAAACTGCTTGATTTAACATAATAGAACTAATTTAAACTTAAGGCTTTTGTGTGTGTGTGTGTGTGTGTGTGTGTGTGTGTGTGTGTGTGTGTATTTGCTTGTAACTTAGAGTGATTCTTTTTTTTAATAATAAATTTATTTATTTTTAGTTTTCAACATTTACTTCCATAAGATTTTGAGTTCCAAATTTTCTTCCAATCTCTCTCTCTTCCCACCAAGCCAAATGGCATGTAAATTGATATACACTCAACATATACATTCATGTTAAATTTATTTTCACATTAGTCACGTTGTAAAGAAGAATTAGAACCAATGGAAGAAACCACGAAAAAGAAGAAACAAAAAAAAAATAAGAGAGAGCAAATAATGTGCTTCCATCTACATTCAGACTCCTTAGTTCTTTTTCTGGATGTGGACAGCATTTTGCATCATGAGTCTTTTGGAGTTTTCTTAGATCCTTGCATTGCTAAAAAGAGATAAATCTATCAAAGTTAGTCATCATACAATGTGGCTGTTACTATGTGCAATGTTCTTCTGGTTCTGCTCACTTTAATCAGCATCAATTCATATAAGTCTTTCCAAGTTTTTCTGAAGTCTGCCTGCTCATCATTTCTTATAGCACAATAGTATTCCATTACATTCATATACCACAACTTGTTCAGCCATTCCCCAATTGATGGGTGTCCCTTCAATTTCCAATTCTTTGCCACCACAAAAAGAGTTGCTATAAATATTTCTGTACATGTGGGTCCTTTTCCTATTTGTATGATCTCTTTGGGATATAGTCCTAGAAGTAGTATTGCTGGGTCAAAGGATATTCAGAGTTTTATAGCCCTTTGTACATAGTTCCAACTTGCTCTCCAGAATGGTTGGATCAGTTCACAACTCCACCAGCAATGCATTAGTGTTCCAATTTTCCCACATCTTCTCCAGCATTTATCATTTTCCTATTTTATCATGTTAGCCAATCTGATAGGTATGGCGTGGTACCTCAGAGTTGTTTTGATTTGCATTTCTCTAGTCAATAGTGATTTAGAGCATTTTTTCATGTGATTACAGAGGGCTTTAATTTCTTCATCTGAAAACTTCCTGTTCATATCCTTTGACCATTTATCAATTGGGGAATGACTTGTATTCTTATAAATAGAGTGATTCTTAGTCTAGGCTTTGAGACTTCCTCTTTCATATTGCTTTCAAAATTGTCTTTGGGTGGTAGTATTGAAAATTAATATTTTTCCTGGGATATTTTTTCCCTCTTACTTAGAATCTACTTTAACAATATATGTATGTATCTGAGCTTTCTTGCTTAGTAGAAAAGCATCTCTGAAGTATAGATTTAAAGGTGAAAGTTTGCATGCCTCCTATCCTTTATGTCTAGCTTGTTCATGTCAGTGAGGTACAATTTCAAAGGCTACACAACCCACATTTCAGCTCTGAGAGTTTTTTTCCTTTCTAACTATAAATTATGAAGAGGAAATGTGAAAAAAAAACAACTGTCAAAGTAGATGACTATTAATACCCATGTGAAAGCTATGATTTAAAAAAAAAGTTTCATGGTTTCTTTATATATGTGCTTCATCTGCCAGTTACACAGGGCTATCTAAACATTAGCTTTTACATTCTTTAACTTGGTTATATCATAGGTTTATTAGCTTTCCAGAAACTGTCTCATTTTATTCTTACAAAGTTTATAATTTCTGTTGTCCTAGCATGTTTGAGTTTTTTTTTAATCTATTAACTAATGAACTTTGAGTTTTATGCTAAACGGACATTTAAAGAAAATTAAGAGCTAACAATAAAGGCAAATGTTCTTCACTTCTCACTTTGTCCTATTTCTTGTGTGTATAATTCTAAACAATTGTTCTTTGTCTGTTAGACGTTCGTAGAATCATAGAACTAGAGTTGGAAGATATATTGTGGGTCATCTAGTCCAAGTCCCTATTTACAAATGAGGAAACTGAGTCCCACAAAAGTTGGAAATTGTCCAAGGTCATATAAGTAGTAAATGATAGAGCTGAGATTCAAACTCAGATCCTTTGACTCAAAGTTCATTATTCATTTTACTGGGTCACAGAAGAAAAAGCAGATCTGTGCATTCCACTTTGAGCAGGAATCTAATATTTGGGGCAACTAAGGTAGATTATTTAAAGGACCTAAAAATAGTTTGTCTCTGTTTCTATTGGAATTTCCTATTTATCCAGCCCCTCATAGAGGTTTGATTGAGTTTGAAATTTGTTTTAAAAGAGCAGAGACAAACCAATTACTTTGTGAGCACTGGATCTCTTCTCTTTTCTTGTTTGTTGGGTGTTTTTCTGGGGGAAATTTCTCAATTAATGAAATTCTCTAGAGGTGCTTTTTCTCCTCGCCATTGTTTTGTATTGGCATCTAGCTGATTTCTTTTGGGTGGAAATATGTACTGCTGGGGATGAAACATTTTATGTGGCTTTTTTTCCTTTCCGTTTTCTCTTACTAGAATGGACATTTATTCTGTTCCCTCTCAGGAGAGGAAGGGGGAACAACAAATTGCCGTGCTTGCTTATATAATGTCTCCTTGAGCATCTATTTGAAGGAATATTTCATAGCACTCTTCTATCTCAGCCTTATATATCAGCCTTTACTTTAAAGTTTATGAACTCTAAGACTTCTCTATTCCTAAATGCAAATTTTAGTGAATTAGACTCTCTTTAGCTGTGATTGGTATGAAGTATTGCAGCAGTGATCAATTTCCACGTAGAAGCTATCTTTCATAAATTCAGTTGGTGGAGCTTGTCAAAAGATATTAGATTTTAAAGTTGGTAGGAGACTTGGGAAATTATCGAGTCCAGCACTCACTTCATTTTGCAGATGAGTAAATTGAGGTCCAGAGAGCTTAAGTGATTTGTCCAAGATGACGCAGCTAGCAGGTAGAAGAGTTGGAATTTAAACTTGGGTCCTCTGACTCTGAATCTGGCTCTCTTTCTACCATGCCATCCAGCTTCCACACTGTTGTGTCAACTACCTTATTCATTTAATTGAGCTCAACAAATTGCCTCCGAAGAAAAGGTATGAATAAATCGATGGAGTTTCACATTTTTTAATATGAATAATGGAAAGCGCATTGGGTAAACTTGAGAGTATTCTGGGCTTAGTTTGTCACTTTGACCTCTTTGAACCTCAGGTCTATTATTTGTAAAATAATATCTGCCCAATTTACCTCACAGGGAGTGGTACAGATTAAGTGAGATATAAAGTGTTTTGTATTCTCTGAAAATGTAAATTGTTATTTTTAATAGTTAAATCACCTAAATAAAGGTGTGAGAAAGATTCACATTGCCACCTCCACTTTGCATATGTGTCCACTAAAGTATGGTGATTTTTATACTGGTTGACCCTGGAAGTAAGCAGCACCTGACTTGCAATGAGGTGAAGGTACTTTTTAACCTTGGCTTTTTTGTTTTGTTTTGTTTTGGTATAGCTAGTTCCATCAGGATAACATTATTTCATGTGGCTTAAAAGTTTA